GAATAATTATTTTATTGGTTTGTTTGTTTTGAATTTCGCGCAAAGCTACACGAGGGCTATCTGCACTAGCCGTCCCTAATTTAGCAGTGTAAGACTAGAGGGAAGGCAGCTAGTCATCACCACCCACCGCCAACTCTTGGGCTACTCTTTTACCAACCAATAGTGGGATTGACCGTCACATTATAACGCCCCCACGGCTGAAAGGGCGAGCATGTTTGGTGGGACGGGGATTCGAACCCGCGACCCTCAGATTGCGAGTCGAGCGCCTTATCCACCTGGCCATGCCGGGCCTATTTTATTGGTTACAGCCCGATATTTGGAAAATTGAACATAAAAGTATCTACTCATGTAGGCCTAATGTTCATTCAGGCTGTTATATAAACTACTATGTGTATATTTTTTTATATTTGGGTCTTAAGTCTGTAACATTTTGACGTATATTTGTAATAATTAAATTTTTCCTCATCATTCCCGTGTTTGTCATTTATCTTGAAAGCTCAAAAACAAGGAAAAGAACTGTGTTAACTGTAAATTGTGATTGGTTACGTTGAAAGGTAGGGAGTTCAAATAAGTTCTGGATAATAGATGGTCCTACCTCCCAGCTCCACATTGGCTCAGTGGACTTGCAACGCTAGAAACAGGGTTTCGATACCCGTGGTGAGAAGAGTACAGATAGCACATTGTGTAGCTTTGTGCTTAACTTAAATAAACAAACCTACCTCCCACCCTAATAAGGATCGGTTAGATGATTCTAACTAACTCTTATGGTGGAAGGTAGGAGAAATATGATTGGTTAAGGATTATCTCAAAGATTATGAACATTTATTTCAGCATGGAAATCTGTAGTCATTTTGTGAATCTATCCATTTTAAATCAATTACTTGTCCCATATTATTATTTTTTTAGAATTCTCGATTGTTGTTATATTGTAGTCATAGCTATGCCAACAATGCTTCTAGAATATTTAAGTTTGATAAAATGTATGTCCAGAATAAAGCTGTAAAATGTCAAGTCACAACAATTATCATCCACTTTGAGGTGAGTAACTTATCCATGTAATGATGCAAAATATACAGCTAAAGTAACCGGTAGACCTAGTTCGTTTTGATTAATATTTAATATATGAAATATAGTCAAATTACTTTTAAAGTAACAGGAAAACTGTACCTATTAAATGATAAACCGAGCGCTATTTTTTTTTTTATCAGGGACAGTTTTGTATCAAAATTTCTTGAACCTACGTGTTTTTCTGACATCATGACTGTACCTATTAATATATTAAAATGTTCTAGCTTTGCGGGTATGTTACAAAAATATATTAGTTCTATTTTAATGAAACTTTAAATTCAATAACATATTCTTCTTGTGGAAGTTTAACAGTTTTCTATCTTCAAAAGATGGTGGCTTTTTTAAGGCATGATTTCGGCAAAATCTCCTCAATGCTGTTAAACCAAATTTTTAACCTTTATTCTTGCTGTAATATGTCACATGTTTAAAATTCTGTAAACATCAATTAACTTCCAACAACCAATGCGTTTCTCTCTCTCTGTCTTTTTTTTCTTTTTGAAGAAAGACAAGGATGAAAAGGAAATTGTAAATGGCCATCATTCTTTTTCTACCCAATCACACAACACTCCTACCACAGTTGGCCACCACGAGGGCTCTATGCGCTAGCCGTCCCTAATTTAGCAGTGTAAGACCACCCACCGCCAACCCTTGGGCTATTTTACCAACGATATATAACTATATAACGCCCCCACGTCTGAAAGGACGAGTATGTTTGGTGTGACGCGGATTCGAACCCGAGACCCTCAGATTGTGAGTCGAGCGCCCTAACCACATGGCATGCCCCAACTGTGTTAACAGCCAATATATTTTATATAAAAAAGGGCTGTAAAACTTGCTTTCTTTAATATGTGCAGTATTTATAGTTAAAATGGCTAATTATTCAATCTCGTAGCATTAAATTTTCGAACATTCTCTGGAGGGTATGCCCCCAGACCACCCTAGAATTGGCATGGTTTACACACATTGTTTAGCTGTGGCAATGGCTTGACCACTCCAAATTGCTTCCTGTGGCAATTATGAAACAGTCTGATACTCATTCTTTTGGACATTATGACCGCTAAATCCGCTGTTGATAACTGCCTCAACATATTTCAAAGTCTCTGTGTGTGTGACAAACTTATTACACATGCCAGTCATTGGGCTCCAAAGCCAAATCTTTTATATTTAGAAAAAAATACTAAATTGCTTCTCATAAATTTCGTACTAAATACACATTGATTTTACATGCATTCTTGTTCTTTGTTACTATTGATGTGTTTTAAATAACTTGGTTATTATCACGCAGGGTCATCCTGTACTTTCTTAATGTTTAAGCAAAGATTTTAAGTAAAAGTTAACTTTTTGGATTGTGATATATATATACAAAATGTATTAATTTAGAAGCAGAAAATTAAATCTGGAAGCAAAATCAAAATCATTATTTAAAAGCACTTTTACATTTCAGATGTTATATTAAAAAAAAATACTAGTGATCACTATTTATCTCATATTGTTATTTGTGGGTTTATAAATGTAATACTAAATAAATATTTTTTTTTTATCAACTCATAAGATAATTTTATCATTTACTGGGGAATCCAGAATGGAAACACTAGTCATTTAAAGTTTGATTTTCAAAAATGTCTTTATTTTTTAAGTTGAAACTATACCTTTTTTATATTTTTTTTAAGGAAAAAAAATTCTTTGTTATTTTCTTGTGATCAAATAGCTTTTGACTATGGTATATAAACACAATTGTTCAGCATAACATATCCAAGTTCTTTAATATGATGAATACGATATTCCATGTATGTCAATTCCTTACCATACTCAAGAAACAATAAATTCGTAAAAGAGGCAAAGAAACACAGGTCAGACATTTTCATATTTCCTTTGTGAATTCCTTTTTATATCTAAAAACTTTCAGAACAATGTACTGAAATCATATCAAACTTTCTTTCATGAATGTCATGTTCTTAAGATTAGTTAAGTGATGAGTAAGTATTTACAAGTAAGTCCAAACACATTTTTTTACACCTTTACAAATAAATTAAGGAAACCAACAGTCGATATCTCTTATAACTACTGCTGTAAGATGTGATGTCTTTTTTTTTCTCACACATTTTCAAATCAAGAACTTCATATTAGAGAAGTGTGAACATAACATTTGAAATGCATCAAAGAAAAAATCTACTTGATATACAACAATGGAAAAATAATGATGAATCAAACACCAAAAAACCACTTGTTACTTAGATTCTCCATAGAACATTAACATTATAACATGTTCTGTGTGATACTTACTCAGTGTGCACACTGTTTTCCTAGTTTAACATACAAAACAATTAATCAATCATACCTAACTAAACATTCTACAAAACTGGTATTACTAAAACAAAAATGATAAATGGTATATCAAGGAAACAAAAACTTTTTTATTTTTACTGATCTTCTAACTACTATATTACACTGAAATATGGTATATCTAGAAAACACAGTTAAATAAAACACCATGGAAGATTGTTCATGCATATTTTAAGTAATAAACATCCACGTTTACAGCTAATCAAACTCACATTTTTTTATTATTTTTTAGAAAAAGTGACAAATATCATACTCTATTCTAAAGGGTAAACACAGAAATACAATTATTTGAATTAAAAATACCTATATTTACACAAGAAAAAAGCTTAAAATGACAGAGCATGTCAAAAGGAGACCAACCTTATTATGGTGTTCTGTAACTGAATTATTGTTTCATTCAAATAACTAAATAAAAATGTATTATTGAGTCTGGAATGCTTTCAAGTGACTGCATAAACTAAGTGAGCACAAACTACCGCTAAATCTCTCATATTTACAATTATCTGTCAGCAATCCCAAATTTAAAACACTATAGTCCAAAGTGTTAAGAGAAGGAAACAAAAGAGTGCATAAAACCTTCCATATAATTAACCATAGTGGTATGCATATTCCATACACTAACTATATTCTTTTACATTTAATCTGGGTATTATTTTCAAAGATATATTAATGTATGATGTTTCAATGGCAGTATTCACACTTCACTGATTAATTTAATCCTTGCGACTACAATATAGGATTTCTGTAAACATGGTTTTTCATTCTGTTTTATTATTGTTACTATATACATATATAAACGGTACTGTGGTGTGATGCAAAACTCACATGAAGCATCATATTTCAGAATTTACACCTCTTAAATTCTATTAATAATGTTACACAGTACATAGAAATTTTATTTTGCTGGTTCATGCTATATATACATGTTGTTCTTAAACATCTATACTAATATGTGATTGACACCGTCTTTACACAAAACAAACTGTTTATAAAAAAAACAACAGTGAACAATTAATACTAGTAATTATTACTAAAAGACAATATCAAGAAGGTTTATGTAACTTTCTTTTTTTTTAAATGTCTTGATATGATAAAATCCAAACCTTTTAGAGCTACGAATAAGAGATATTTTTAAGCCTGCACAGCAACTTTTGGTGATAAAGCACATGGATATTTGCCTTGATCTGTGTACATATTTGCACACATACAACAAATGATATTATATACACAGAAGCCCCTTTTGTCAGTTTCAAATAAATGGTTATTTTGGATACGACATAAAACAAGTTCACTATATCTAACACACAGGAGTTATTTTTGCAACATAATTTCAGGTTACATCTAGAAATGAATGAATGACTATTACTGATAATTTGTATAGAAATCACTTATTGTTAAATATGAGTTTAATAATTCAACAGATGTGTTTTTAAATCAATGTCATCTAACAGGTTCTTTATATATATTTACATTGTATTTCTTGCATATGTTGTAGCTGATGATTTAGTTCCTGAATAGATCATTAAAAAAGTATGATCCACAAACTAGTTATCACAAGTTGACCACAGATCAAATCCTAACTGAAATGCATTATAAACATTAATGTGCATATATTTTTTATCAATAAACCAAAAACAACATTAAAAAAAAGTTACATGCCTACAACCTTTTTACTTTTCAAATTAAAATTCCACAGAGTGTAACTCATACGATTACTTTACACCTTTAATTAGAGAAAAACTTTAATCAAAAAGCCAAGATTCTTATTTCTCAAGTACTTTAATATAACCTAAAATGTTTTATATCTCTGCGCCTGATATCAGCACTCTTGTATGCACACCCAATGGTTATATTTGGATCAAGTGTCTATGGGTATATATAATTTTATCAATGTCACATGCTGCAAATACATATAAATAGTGGACTGCTCTCATTTTTTCCTAGACTGCTATATTTTTAAAGTAACAACCACTGATTTCAATTGGTTCTTACTTCCAATCTTGTTTATATAAAACAAAAAATCTTGCAATATCTCGGACACTAAGAAAGGATAATGATCTCAGATTATTTCTTTCTTCAAAAGGTCACTCCACAGAAACCCGAGTCTTTTGTTTATTACTGTCATTCATAGGTTCTCCTCAAATGTTGCCATGATGTCACTCTGCCTATTCATATCAATCTGTCTCGCCATCTAAAATACACATTGGTATATCAATTATTGTTATTCTTTGTGCTGATAAATTAATTCTAGCAATGAAAATATTATCATAATAATGCTTCTTACTTTTATAAATAATTATTTCTATGAACGTAAACTCCCCACCAAAGAACAAAATAAATGAGGAAGTTGAATCTTTATTTTCCTCTCAAACTTTTGTGCTAACTTCTGCTTAAAAAATGGTTTATTAGCTAAACTAATAAATATAATAATCACTTATAAGTAAGGAGTAAGAAAATTATTTATAAATGAATAACAAGTTTCCTTTTTATGAAGCTATACAAGTTCAATTATTCTCTATCAGTCAAAAGCAACTGTACTAATTTAGCCAACCTTATGACAGTGAACTTAACTTCTGTTGTGCTTCTTTATGTCTTCTTTTCAACAGACTTGATAAAAAATATCAAATAACTTTTCCAAACTATTTAATGTAGTCTAAAAACAATTTGACTTTCATTCACATACCAATAGGTTAGGTATTTGTAGGGTCAAAAATTAAACATAATGTAAAAAATGTGACTTTTCACAAATTCAATTTTTCTAAACAGTTTGTTGCAAATTAATGACATCTTGTCAAAAGACAAGTGAAACTCAGAAAAGATCCTTTTTGTGTGTGTTTGCGTGTTCATTGTTGTTGTTTATGTTAGATTAAAAATGTTCCATATCCCTTGAAAAATACAGCAAGAGATTTGGAGATTTAATGTGATAATCTGGATACAAATATATTGTTATTGGTAGCTATAGTTCATAGAAAAAAAAAATTAAATCATTATATAAGAGATTTTGAGATTTTTTTATGTGATAATCTGGATACAAATATATTGTTTTTGGTAGCTATAGTTCATTGAAAAAATAAAAATTATTATATAAGATATTTTGTTATGTGATAATCTGGATACAAATATATTGTTTTTGGTAGGTATAGTTCTTAGAAAAAAAATTAAATCATTATATAAGAGATTTGGAGATTTTGTTACATGATAATCTGGATACAAATATATTGTTTTTGGTAGCTATAGTTCATTAGAAAAAAAAAAAAATATTACATCTACTCCCAAAGAGAATATCTCTAAATATTTGAAAGTAAGAAAGGTTTGATTACCACATATCAATTAAACATATTTTTCCCAGTGAGTTTTTATTGAGGAACATTAAACTGTTTTTACTTATGATAATAGGCACCTTTCAAAAGTATTTCTGAAAACTATTGTTAAAACAATGTGGTATATAATAATAATAATAAAATGAGAAAACAAAATTGCTCGGTTGAAATACAAATTCTCAAAATATCTTTATTTTTGATTCTATATCAGTTGTTTGTTATACTATGATTACTTTTTAAAATTTTTATTCTAAATTATAGTAATAAGTTCTTTATACACTTATGATAAACATCAGTGTTGAAAATATGTTCACTTTGATAATGAATTTTCGATGTTTAGTATCCTGTAGGTGAACAGTTTTTATACATTTAAATGAGAGGTTTGTTTGTTCAAGCACAAAGTTGCACAATGAGCTATCTGCATTGTGCCCATTGCAGGGATCAAGCTCCACATTTTAGCATCATACACTCTCAAGTATACTGATGAGCTATTGGGGCATTAATTGAGAAGATAAAAAAAACATACAATGGCCTTAGTCCAAAGTAACATTATTCACGCTGTAAATGGATTGATATTTTTATTATCATATTTTCTGAAATAATTGATATTTTCAAGGTACTGAAGCTGAAAGAAGCCTACACAAAGAGATTCACATGAGGCCCAATTTATGTACAATCTTTGGGGTACAAATCACAAAAAGAATAGAAAGAACTTACAGCCTCTCTTCGTCTCCTCTCTTGCTCTCGTAGTCTTTGCCTCTCTCGCTCATTGTTAGCCTGTTGAGAATCATTTTGCTGTGCCTTTTCTTCTGTTTGCTCCTGTTGTCGAGCTTTTCGCAGCCTTTCCAAAGCCTCCTCTTCTTCTTTTTCCCTAGTGAATTTGTGGAATACAAATACTAAGTATATACATATTTAAAGGTTTTTCAAGAAGTACATTTTATTTTTTTTATGTATATAATGTACAGTATGAAGAAAGCAGCAGAATGAAAATGTTATATAAAAAACCTGGACACTAGTGAACAACACTACCAAATAAGGAAGATACAGGCTTGAAGCCCATCACAGGAGTTAGCCTGGGACATATTCCATGTCTTGACCTAGAAGCGAGAAACCTCACAGCTACAGACTCCAGTGCCAGACAGACTTGATATATTGAGATAATACTCCAATTGTTTAAATAAAGCTCCTTAAAAAATGAATCAATATTACCAAAAATAATTAATGGGATGACAAGGAAAATCCATGGATGAATCAATCTTAGTGAAGAGACACGAGTTACATGGTTTGTTTCGATACGCCCAAGTTGTCTTGGGTGATTTTACCAAAGATAAGGAACTGAAATAATTTCTGTAAAGCCCATTAACAAAGTGGATTTTGGTTACAGTCTGATGAAATAGTCCACTTGTTGATAGAAGATCCTACTTGTATCAATCATGTTAAAAAACTACTTTTAAATGTAGATCTGCTAAACTTCTTGAACAATTGGAAAAACACTAAAAATTGTGTATATAATTCTGTGCTTCTGACTCAAAATCTGAAATTGCTCCGGGGAATTGTTCTGACTCTTGAATCTACAAGATGTTTGTTGCACAAACTCTTGGTTAGTATGCTATTTCTGATTTAGTCTAACAGTGTTTATGTAACCCTTTCACTGCAGCTGGGATGTATATTTCCTAGTGCACTAGGTTAAGGTTCAATAGTGTATCATGCATAATGAGAAAATAGTGATGAACATTAACCTATCATGACGGGTCACATGTCAAAAGCCACGTCATCATGTTTATTGACTTACATTCAAAATTTTATTGAAGTACTATTTATGAATTTATGTCATTAAGTTTGGTATAAAATTGTAGATTATAATTCAAATTTTAGTATTATACATTAGTTAATATTTAAAAAACATGGTTAAACATCAATTTTTGTGTGTCACGTGATATGTTGAATGCAGCACTGGTTCAAATTAGATGTTTGTGAAGTCAAAATACTCAGTCTATAGTTTCGTATGAATTAGGAACTCAAACTACCAATATTGACAAGCTACAATATAAAATAAGAAGGTCTTATCTTTTCTATTTGCCAAGATATTGCTCATGTACTAAATCAAACACAGTGGCCCCCCCAGCCCACTTCTTTCCATTATTGGAAATGGTCCCTTATATACAATTCCTTCTACAAATGACATGAATAACCAATTAAAAGATCAGAATGTCCCCCCAGTGGTTTTCTCAGCCATTTTGATGTGTTATTGTGTTAATTTCATTCTTTTCACACAAGATTTCAAACGATAAGGTAAATCTTTAGTGAGCTTGAAATTTCATATTTTTGTAGACACAAATACAACTTAGTTACTGAGCTTGATAAATTATAGTGGACTTCTATGATATCGATATAGTAATTTATGATTTTTTGGTTATTTAAAATGTATATAAAAACCTAAAAAAAATTTTCTTTTTTACATCCTCCATGTGCAGAATTTCATAAGGCTTAGCAACCTATGACATGTGGCAAACGAGTACATAGGTCGTAATTAGAAGAGATAACTGTTTGCTTTACTTCTTTATTTACTGTTCTATGTTTTAAGAAAAATAAGTTTAAGAACTTAACTGTAACTAGTAATAATATATAATAATTGAAATGTGACTATATTTGACAAAATACTAATCCACTAAAACACAGCCAAGACAGGTCACTTTGTAAAAACTAAAGGTCAGTTATATATTATTGGATATGGTAACACAAATGCATATGAGCCTCATCATTGTAATTTCTGTGTTGTTAGCCAGACATGACTGAAAGGTCAATATAATAAAAGTAATAGACATATATAAATGTATAATGTTATAAGATTAAAGCTATTTAAACTAAACATACGTGTTTTCGTGTTATAATCTGTAGTCATTCTAGAATGAAAAAAACATAATTTATATTTTTTTCCTAATTTCTTATTGAGATTATGAAGTCAGTCAAATCGAACCAACCCGTACAGATATACAATAGTGAAAATAACAAATAAAATATAAAGTTTTTTCTAAAACAAATTTGGTAATTATTTGGAGATTATAAAGATTTTGCATGTGAAATTTTAAAATGTTCTAATGCATTAAAGTATTTTTAATCTTAAAATCAAAATTGCTTTGCATGTTGGGTAGTCAACATTCTGAAAGAAAAGGTTTACAAGAACATCTTTAATTAAAAAATCTTAATACTTAATTTAAAAACCTGATATTTTGTGTAAGAAAACCTTGTAATGTTTACCAACTTTTGCAAAATTTTGTGAAGATGTATATATATATATTATCAAAAATCATAGTATAATTACTTTCATAGATACTTTTGTGGTTATGAGTTGGGTGGATTCCACCCAGCCCATAATGGAAGGGTTAACTGTACTAAAGAAATAGTAAATTTGAAAATGCTTAAAATGGAATTACTTAAAAATATCTTAAAGGAATTGTTAATACAGTTATACAAATTACGACCGACGGGATTTCATGTTAATTTAGTTGATCACTTAACTAATGTTGTGTCTATGTTACTGAACATAATAAAAGGCCTTATTAATGAAAACCTTGATCTTCAAAACAAAGACCTCAATGACTTAGAGATAGTGTTGTTTCACGATAACCTTGAGAGTTTCGACATAAATGAAATGCTCAATAGTGTATAAATAAATAAATAAGTTATTTGATTTGTATTCTGCCATCTCTGAGTGAGTTCATTATTCCACATGTAAACTTCCTCAAGTTGGTGGCTTGTGTGCTCTGCTCGTGACATCACAAGCCAAAATCCAAATAAATTTCTCTGTAACGAGTGTAAAATTGAACCCAAGGACAAGGCCCACGGGCTGCTCATATGCCTGTTACACTTGCCTTAATATCCAAGGTTTAGGGCACAGACTAGTCAACTTCTAAACACTGTATCACAAACCAACCCACATATAAAAACGAGAGAGATCTATCATGATAACGATCTTGATGATTTATCAAGTCAGTGGAAATAAGTGCTGAAGTGGCAACATGGCATACTATATGACAGTTGAAGTATTAGGATGACAGTGCTTATCAGGTATGCACAAATTCCAATTATGAAGAAGCACATGTGCAGGTACTTATAAGAAAAAACAAAGATATCCAACCAGTCCTGTTAAAAATCATCATTCTATAAAATGAAAAAGGTCATTCTATAATGATATAATATTCAAACACTCTTGCTATGCAATATTATTCTCCAATGAGAGTACTTAATATTAGTCTTATTACAAAGTATTCTATGTTCTGATGATATGTTGTGAAATATAATGGAACACCACTAAAAATATCAGATTTATTTTATTTAAGTTAATAAGTGAAAGAAGGAAATCAGATATGAAAGAGAAACATTTTATTTTAAAACAAATTAATGAAAGTTCAATAATCTTGAAGTTGAATGATTTTGAGCAACACCTGACCCAGAGATATCACTGGGTAATGTGCATAAGTAATAAAAAAAACACATGTTTAGTTTGAAACCTAGAATGGTTTCTTTTTTTAGTTCAAATAATAAAAACACTATGTTAGAAAATTGTGAGCTAAATTTAAACATTTTTTTTTCTCCAGATGTTATACAGAAAACATTTGTTATTTTTCAGTCTTGCCACATAACTAATACAAAAAGAAGAAATTGCACAAGGAAAAAAAAAAAAATCACCTTTTAGAAACATGTCAGGATTTTTTTGTAGTACATAGACAAATATTATTGTGGTTCAAGATCATCTTAATTAGATAGTTCAAAACAGAATCATAAATATACGTCTGGAGTTACCGTATACCATAAACTAATTTTCTGGATTGTGTGCTATTTTGTACCATTCACTCTAAAATCCATTTAATCAAAAATTTTACTGATGAAGCTCATACAACTGTAATTATTTAGACTTTACTGCATCAATAAAATTAAGATCAACAGAGTTTTAAAACTGAATTAAAGAGACTAACATTTGCAGGCGAAGTCAACGTCTCTGCCAGGAAATTCCAACATGGCCCATTTTGACATGAGAAAAATTGTGAAAAACACAGACAAATCTAAAACTGTCTACACCACTGCTTTCGATTTGCAAGAAGGTATCTTTGTGCCAGATTCCATGTAAGTTGGTTGACATACACAAGAATAGTTCACGAAAACCCCAAATTGAATTTTCTCAAAGTTGGTCAAAATGCAGCCAAGTAATTGACCAAAACCCCCAAAATTAAATATATCTGCACAAGAGCCTAAAATATATATTTTTGGGTTGTTTGACATTTGACCCATACCCTCCTTAAAAAGGCATAAATCAAAAAAATTAGAAGTGTTTGAGTATATTGGACCAAGTCATAACCCTACCAAGTTTGAAGCCAATCCGCCACGAAATGATGGAATGGCAATGGATTGAAAAGTGTTTGGAAGAAGAAGAAATAATAGAAAAACAATATGTCTCTCTGCAGAGACATAATAAATATTGTAATTGTTTTAATAATAATAATACCATTCACAAATGTGAAAATAAACACAAGTTCACTCTTTCTAAAAAACGTAAAGTTGTACTTTTATCATACACTGGATAAATTTTTTTCTATGTCGAAACAAAGGTTAACATCTCTTGAGTGAAGTATATTCTCAGCTTAGATGGTAATTTAGTAATTTTTTTCGTTCACTTCTGAGACATTATTTTCAAGGATGAATGCACATCTGTAGGGTTGACCAGAGGTTAGATTGGGCCCAGAGAAAACTTAAAAGCTCTATAATTATATTATAGGGTCTTGTATATATTGTACAAAACACTTTTGAAAGTTACTTAATTCATTAACACATTCAGTAATGCAAATCAACTCATCGTGGTGTTTTTTCACATAAAAAAATATCAACTTTTTAAATTGAAGGGAAAAGTATCTCTGAGCTGGCAACTAACGAAATGCCAACAGTCAAGACAGTTTAAAAAAATCATATTCTGTTCATTGAATTTTTGTTTTCTGGTCCACTTCTCTCTCTCTTTTTCTTTACAGTTTCATTGGACAATAACTTGCCCTCTTCTTTTTTTTCTCACTCTACAAGCAGACTTATTCATATGTTGTTACACTGATAGACAATTTAGGCTGTATTTTCCTAGCAATAGAGGATGATTATGTATTCCAAAAGCCTTGGAAGCAATGAATCTGGACAGACAGGTTTTAAATAAAATACAGAAGTTACCAAAAATGTCATCATCACAAGTCCACACAATTATCTTGGAGGGGCAGTTTAAGTAAATGCTTTATCTTATATTCAGTAAAGCACCAGGGTTAATAATATTTCAGCATTCTATTCTTGATTAGCGCTTCAAAAAATAAACTGATTTTTCTTACCTTTGTCTCTCTCGTTCTATTCGCTGCCTCTCTTTTTCTTCTTGTTCTTTCTGATGCCTTCTGATCTCTTGCTGCTCCTTCAGTTGTCTTTGCTAAATTACACATAAATATGTATATAAACAAAGAATAATGTATCTATGCTAAAAGTGTTGATAACATAATAACCCACTCTGAAGCATATATATTTTTCAACCAATGAAAACTAATAGTTAAATAAAGAAGCTCTCAATTTCTGCCAACATTCCCAATAAAGAGATCAAACCTCTGTTACATAGAATAAATAAGGAAACAATTCAAAACAATACATTAAAAAAATCACTTTTTACAAAGATGCTTCAGAAAGTCGTTCATGCAAATATTTTAAAACCAAAATTTTTACTTAACATTTTGTTTCTTAAGTAACATAAACAACACTGGAAGGCACATTGTTAAATATGCGGATGATTACGTGCTATTTTTGTATGCATTCTAATTTTAGCAGATTTTGAAAATAAAACTACATTTTGGAAATTTTGCCAAAGTCCAAAAGACATACATTCACATATACAATATGACTCATATACACTAAGAAATAATGTGCCTTCCCTCCAACAAACATAATTCTAAAGGGAATTATATAACTTTCAGAAGAATTTTGTATAACAATGAAGAATTGGTACATGTATTTACAATAATACTTACCTCTGCTGACACTTTAGCTATTCCTCGACATTGGCTTTGCCTATCTAATCATTGGTTTCCCATGCTCCAGTCTTTTATACATCACTTAAATGCCCTTGGCAATATCTAATTTGCAAATTCCTCCTTCTGCATCAATGTGCCCTCTATCCCGATATTGTATATAAGCACCTCACTCAGATAATGTTATCACTTTTTCTGGACTTACACCATCCCAGTCACTAACACCAGCTCTTAGTGGGGAGATTGTCAGTGGAATTAAGTATTACTGGAAACACATTTTCAATCTAGGAAAACGTTAACTTCCAAAACATACTTACCCTCTGCTGCCACTTTAGCTAGAATCCCACAATGAGAAGGTGGAGGGGCCGGTGAGGACATTGTCCATACAGAAAGCATCTGTGTAGAACAGGGGTGTACCAAAAGAAGAGTGGTACCCAAGTGGGGAAACCACACTACATCCAGAACAGGTATGCTCTTCACCTAGAATTTAATATTGGTATCAAGGGTGGAATAGTACACAAGTAATTATTACAGGCCAGCACCAACCATATAACCAATGTTCCACAACTGATGGTTAGAATTAAGAGGTCATGGTCCCTATATCCCACATTGGTGGCTAGAGCAATTGGACCGTAATGTGAAATATAGATATACTTTTGATTTGATCCCAACTTGTAGCCATAGGGTGATGTGTTCTGAACCACTGGAATTACGATGAGAAAGTGAGCATCACTGAAGTGGACAAACTTTCTCTTCCAACCGAAGAAGTCCAAAATGCACCACCCCAGGCTCGGAATGATGGGATCGTATATGCCTTACTCAACCAAAGGAACAGAACTCATCCAGTCTGTAATTATGAACATTCATCCTTACTCTCCAACCAAATGGACAAGGAGCATTCCACTTGCTCCTGGAATTATGGAGAGGACGTTGAACACTATTCAAACAAGGACCTAGGATGGGACCACTTCACGGTCGAAATTATGAGGAGATAGTAGAGCTCCATCAATGAACAATATACAACCCAGCATTGTTCATAAGAAGGGCCAAGCACACCCTAACTGGATAGCATAGGATCAAATCTCAACCGGTATTACAAGTAGGCTCCTGCATGGGCTCCCAGCTTTGCCCTCTTCTCCGAGAGTGGAGAAACAACACTCGAACACTCTGAAGGAAAAGCCTCTGTCCACCACCCCAGCGACTGGAAACTGGGTGTGGTAAGGACTCCCTAGCTCCACTAGTAGAATCTGGAGGGGTAACATGTCTTGAGAAGTCCTGAGGAACAGTGCAATAAGTAAACCAATTTCCCTAAATTTTTAAAAGCAAACCAACCCCGATTTATTCAATTCCATGATCAGCAGGGACAGGCAGAATCCCCTTTAGGTATACTCATGATAGTTCATGAGTAGTGGTTCATGATAATATGGTAATACCATCCAGTAATATGCCTAGATGGTCTTATGGAACACCTCATTTCTACAGAGCCTGTTGCAACCAGAAGTAAGTACAGTCAAATGGGTTGCTAGCACAGAATTGGATTGATAAAAGCACACCTGTCTGGGCAACACTTGCAACAGAGTGTGATGCAGTGAAAGCAAGATGTAAGGGACCCTGAAAAAGAAAGTGGGGATAAACCTTTGGAAACTGAAGTATCCCAAAGAATACAGAGACAAGAACTAACAACATGAAAGGAGTTAGAGTGAGCCACATAACACCTCTGGGTCTGACAGGACAAAACAAATGATGAGCATTTGATTAATTGCAGAGGTGAGAAATAGGTAGCAAAAGACTTGTGGAGAGGGATGTATTCCTTTCCCTGGTGGCCAGAGACTAAGAAAGAAAGGACCTATCAGGGTATAGAAAGACTAAAAGGGAGAGATAAAGAGTCCTACAAATATGTCAACAACTCCAGCTGATGACATCAGCATGTCAGCAAATACAAAATACCCATTAAGGAAGAGATGATACATAGTACATGAGGCTAAAGGCTCAAAAAGTAGTCAAGGCAAGGCATGTAACACCACCTTAATATTTCGATTAAGTAATAGAAAAGGCCATTTGGGAAGAAGGCTGGATAGCATTGGGGAGTCTAAAACCATCAGATGTTCAGGATAGCTAAAAGGAGATGAAAAGATCTAAATGACAGGAGACAAAGCTAAACCCAAGTAAAAAACAGGTCAAAACAAGATATGGTGAACCCATTTGATAAAGTGGATACAAACTCCTTGTGAGGCACACCTTAGGCAACTGTAGATGTTAAACCCCAAAGAGTCTTGGTGAAGAATGTTGGGATGAGGATACCTCAATAAAGATAAACAAAGAGGAAGATGCAGAAGTGGACTCACTTGAAAAAACTGTAGAAGAAGAAATCATTGCTAGACCAGCCAATCTAGGCTAGCAACATCTTGCATGTAGAGGATCGAAATATTGCCAGAACTCTGAGTAATAGAGAAAGTGAGGTAAAGTCATAGATGTGCAATCCCATCCAAGCAGGACCAATTGCATCTACCACCCAAGCTTGAGGATGAGGCAGTGGAGATTCCAAAGCTTGTAGTTGAGTAGCAATAAGTGGCCAAAAGCTAACAAAGGAGGCCCAAAATGACAACAAAGTTATCAGAAAACCGCACCACAGATAATCCAATTGTTCAGGAGAAAGAGAGGACTGAGACTGACATTCTGCTATGAAATCCATTACCCCAGGAAAATGGTAAGCCAGGTGATTGACATGATTGGAATAGGCCCCATAGAGAAAGAACCAAAATTAAGAGAACACTAGAATTGATGAAACGTCTCATGAGGATATTCCCCTGCAAAAGATATAGACCTTGCACTATTGCCTGTTGGACAGCAAAAAGTTCTAAATTATTGATGCAGAATGAAGATTCGTCCTCCATTCATATACCCTGGAACTCCTGACTAGGAAGATAGACACTGCAACCCGAAGAGAAACTATGGACAGAGGGGCAGTATACATTTATATACATACACATATATATGTACACACACACACACACACACACAGATATATAAACTTAAAATTGTTCCTAAACAAAAAGTATTTAGAATCACACAATACCAACGTCATTTACAAAATAACATGCAATAACTGCCAAGAATTCCTCATAGGAGAAACAGGAAGAAAATTGGAAACCAGATTCACAGAACACAATAAAAAACCATCCCATGTTTTCCACCATTGCAACTCAAAAAACCATAATATATCTAATAAAAACACAGTCATTTTAAACAAAGAACCAAACATAAACAAACGAAAAATCAAGGAATCCAT